ATTTCCCTTGCGCCCAAAATCGTTCGATGTGTGTCTGTGACGTGTCACAAACACATTTATACATATATATGCATATATATTATATATGTATATTCTAAAAAAAAAAAAAAAAATAAACCATTAGATATTAGGTATTAGAATTAGAGTAAAAAAAAAAGAAAAAACAAAGAAATAATTTTCGTTAGTAATGAAACTAATTTTTTCACAAACCAATTTTTCGTATAGAAAAAAAAATGGAATCGTTGAGATGATATGATGACGCACACGCACATGATGAAAGCAATGCTTTAAAAAAAGAAAAAGAAAAAAGAAAAAAGTAAAAAATTTGTTATTTTTCTTTTTTATTTTTTATTACCGATAAGAGAGAAAGAGAGAGAGAGAGAGAGAAAAAAAAAGAAGAAAATAACGGGCAAATGAGAATGAGCCATTGCACACAATTTATTGTTGTCTCCTCCTCCTCCTCCTCCTCCTCCTCCACCGCCATTTTAATTTCTTCTCAGTTTTTATACAAACACGTTGAAAATATTTATATTTATGTATGTATGTGCATGTATGTATGTATGAACGTATGTACGTAGGTCTGTATGTATCGTGGACATTTTTTTTTTTCCAAAAACATTCGTCTCAATTCAATATGTCTGCCGTGTAATTATTATCTCGCGTTTTAAATTGAATTATTAAAAAAAGAGAAAAAAAAAATTCGGAGAAAAAAGAATCTTAAACGACCTAAAATATTAATAATAATATTAATAATAATAATAATAATTAGAATATAATAATAATAATAATAATAATAATAATAATAGAAATAATTGAAATTTATTCTTAATCGTACGCGTCATCGATGATTACATACACACACACACACACAAATACCTTCGAACGTATAAACCCATGAAGAACAAAAAAAAAGGATCGAATTGAAACACAACCGGTCTAAAATAAAAAAAAATAAAAACATAAGCTTTTTTTTATACACATTGTAAACAAGGAAAAAAAGGGGGATAGATAAAAAAAAATGTAGGTAAAATGATCATCCCTAAAATAATTTCTTGTTAGTTGGTTTAAGCGTGTTTCGTGATGGATGAACGACGCACGATCATATCTAATGATTATTATAATAATAATTAATTAATTAATTAATAATAATAATATTAATAATAATATTAATAATAAATATTGATAATAAAAAAAAAATTAAAAAAAATAAGAAAAAACAAGGGCTTAAATGCGCGAGTGAGTCACAAAAATAAACAATATTATATCGTTCGTACAAAATGTGTGTTTTAGCGAAACAACAAAAATTGTTCATCGTTCGATTTGCTGAACAACGAGCTCGGATTAAAAAAAAAAAACCAAAAAAAAAAATACAAGAAAAAAAAGTATTATTATTTTCAATTTTGAATCTCTCAAGTAAATAAATAATTAAATAAATTAATTAATTATCACATAAAGAATTGTACTCGCGTTACAATTCCGAGTTCGTTTTAGGCACTGATATAAAATAAAAAAAATAAAACAAACAAAAAAATAAAAGTATTACGTCCTAAGATTAAATTGAAAATACGTTTTTTTCTCTTTCGCGAGGTGTGTTTGAATCTCACGATATTTAAAAAAAAAAAAAAGCAAAAGAAAAAAAAAACACAATTTAATATAATAATCATTTTGTGTATTATATTCTAACTTATTTTATTCCCATGTTGTTTTTCTTTTTTTTTTCTACGTTTGTTGTTCTATTTTATCAGCAATCGTTAAGATACTCGATAAAAAAAAAATAAAAAAAAAAACGAAAAAAAATATGCAAATAAAAATAGAAAAACAAAACTGCAATACCGACTGAGATTTTAAAATGAAAGTTCGAAGAATGAGATACACAACTATTACAATTATTAATGTAAAAAACACTTGTGCGCTATAATAATAATCAATTTGTAAAATAGTGAAACAAAATATTTAACAAAAATCATTCCACATTTTAGTTTTTGTTTATTTTTTAATTTTTTTTTTTTTTTTTTTTTTTTTTTTTTTTAATTATACGTCTACATACGACTGATATTTTTTTTTTTTTTGGGTTCTTTTTATAATAGAAATTTCTAATCATCAAAATGTGTATATGAAAAGAGGATGATGGGGTTTCATTAAAATATAAATATACAATTTTTCATTGTTTTTTTTTTCTCGAGAAAGAAAAATGGTGATGATGATGATGATGATAATGATGAAGTTCGAAAAATATGAATTATGAAAATAAAAAATGTGAATGTGCTGAAACATCACAAGAATATTTTTATTACGTACCTCTCTTAAATCATGCCAATATGGTGGCCAGCTTTGTTTCTCGAGTTATCAGTGAAACTCGTGTGTGTGTTCACAAATGATTCATATCGATACTCTTCATGCATGACAAAACATCAGTATAAATATATACATATATAAATATAACGAGTAAGATTGTGTATAAATAAATAAATCATTCTATGTAAGCGTCCAGTTAAATTAAATGGATAATTTTTGTTCTCATTTTTTTTTCTTCTTTCAAACCAAATCAAAGATATGTTGTAAATTATTTTCTTATTACGAATTTGTTTCATGAGATTATTCTGCTTTGGTACTTGCAAAAAAAGCAAAATTCCGCTAAGGCGCCAATCTACACACCTTAAATTGTTACGACCAATCATAGAATAACAAAACTTAATTTAAAATCGAAACAATCAAAATTCAAAACATTTTGTTTATAAATAATAGTCAATCAGATTTTGGTGGAAAATGGGCTGATATAGAATTTAACATAGATTCAAAACAATCTCTATTTTTTTTCACTTGATACTGTCGCCGTAACCCTGACGCAACCCTGACGCACCCCAGACGGTTGCTATGTGCAAACAACAAAGTTGTTGTATGCGAGCAACAAGATTGCTCTTTATTAGCGCATTAGCGGAATTTTTGTTGCGTGGTGCCGTTAATACGTAAATACCCGAATTGTTTTTGAACATTTTTAATGACGCAACCCTGACGAAACCCTGACGAAACCCTGACGCAACCCTGACGCACCCCTGACGGTTGCTATGTGCAAACAACAAAGTTGTTGTGTGCGAGCAACAAGATTGCACTTTATTGGCGCATTAGCGGAATTTTTGTTGCGTTGTGCCGTTAATACGTAAATACCCGAATTGTTTTTTAATATTTTTAATGACGCAACCCTGACTAAACCCTGACGGTTGTTGTGTGCAAACAACAAAGTTGTTGTATGCGAGCAACAAGATTGCTCTTTATTGGCTTATTAGCGGAATTTTTGCTGTGGTGGCGTTAATACTTTACTTTTTTTTTTAAATTTTGTTGTTTGAGTTAATCAATAAATAAAAAAATAAAAAAAACCAAATAATAAGAGAGTACGTAATGAAAAAATAAAAATAAAAAGAGAAGAATGGTGGCGTACATTTTGTTTGTTCCTGACAAGATCTTAAAAGCCAAATAAAATTCCTCCATTTTTGTAATGTCTATATGTATCTAACG